AGGGGGGACATCTGGAGTTATGGTGTTTGTCTTCCCAAGGAACTGTTAGGTGTGATGGTCCCTGCTCTCCTGGAGGTGCTGAACACCTCCTGTCTTTGGGAAGCAGTGAATTAATTCTTTGTTTTGCTTTGCTTGTGTGTGCAGCTTTTGCTTTCTCTATTAAACTGTCTTTATCTCAACCCATGAGTTTTTCTAGTTATTACCCTTCTGATTCTCTCCCCCATCCCGTTGGTGGGGGAGTGTGTGAGCGGCTGCATGGTGGTTCTTGGTTGCTGGCTGGGGTTAAACCACGACAGCCAGCTGGGGCCAAAGCCTGGCATGCAACCAGCTAACAAGCAGCACTTGCTTGGCCCCCATAGCACAACAGGCCAGTCCCATCAGCCATAATTACATGGTCACTTGCACTGGGTAGCTCGTTAGCCTGGCAGGGACTCTGTCAGCCCCCATGGCATCTCACAGCCCAGCGCCAACCTGAGGAGCTGTCGTAAAATCAAAACATTCTGAATTCACTGAACTAATATGGAATATAATAGCAGATTTTTTTTTTCCCATTTTTGGCTCGATAACTTTACAAAGATATTCTGTCTGGTTTTAGGGATTTTCGGGCTTTACATGATTTTCGAATACACTTTTACTTCATGTTTTAAACAATATTCAAAGTCATCTGTGCCAACAGCAATTAAAAAGACATATATATATATATATATATATTTACTTATATATATGTGTGTGTGCACATGAAGCAGAGGTTCCCAAGCTTTCACTTCGTTACTATTAGCAGCACTGGGTATTCCCATGTCTGCTGGTTGTGCACCAAGGTGTGCTACCCAGAGCTCTTGAAACAGCAGCCAGAGAGTCTAGCAAAGGGTTCTTGAAACAAACCAAAGCAAGAAAGAAACAACACCCCTCACCACACACATTTTCATGGACTCAGTTCAAACAATGCACACACCTTCGTGGTTTTTGTCTAGTCTCATACGTTAAATTTTGCCTCCTAGAAGGAGCAGAATGGTTCCCTTTTCTGGAGAGCAGGTTACTCCTCTGCTCTAGCACACTGTCCCACGGGCAGACCAAAGGTTTCCACCAAGCACACCCCTGCTGTTAGTGCAGCTCATCATCAGGTCACTACTAGGAATGAAAACCAGTGTGGTGACAGAAGCTGTTTGTCTTAGTGAGCCTTTTCAGCACCGTGGGCACGCATGGCATGGTGCGGCACCCACGAGTACGATGAAGTCAATTGACTCTCACATGTACCTTCTGAGTTGCAAAGCTGTCGTTTGAATTTCAGTGCTGACTGTTTGCAGAAGAGGTCTATAGAATACTTCAGTCCTTTTGAAACACTCTTAACAGTTTAAGGATTGCTGTTTGTTATGTAAAAAGTATTTAACTTGCCAGGTAGTTCTAACCAACTATGTCTTCTGTGAGATCAGAGAGACACTCTTAACCTGGTTTAAAGCTGCCTTTGCAGAAACTTAAATCCACTGTTGATAGTGCCCCTATTAAATGTGCATATAGTTGAGAACTCCCTGTAAGAGTTTTTTAAGCAAAGGGCCTTATTGAAGAAGACCTGCAGAATTCTGCAAAAAAAGTATAATCTATGCATGAAGCAATTTATAATGCTCTAGGTAACATTTAATCATGTACCATCTGAAAGCTGAAAAGCCAACATGTTTAGAGAAATTAACTCCAATGTTTAGAAAGTGGCTAAGTTAATTCCAGTCTAGTTCCAGTATTTTAAGAATTCTCCTTGAAATAAAAATGCATTTTTATTCCCTCAAAAAAGTAGAAAATAATAAAACAAAATATTCTAAAAAACCCCTCAATGCTATTACTAATTTCAACCCAATGGTTTTGAATAATTATCTTTTTCTAGTCCAAATGCTGTCTCCCCCACTGCTTCTATATGCAAATAAGCCTGTATTGAGGAAACAAACAGAAAATAGAGAAATGAACTGCCCTACCACTTTTACAAATGGGCTGTTAATGCCAGCACTCAAAGGAGAAACTGTCAAAAAAAGAACAGCCATAACAGAGAATTTTCTTCTTATGTATTTTTATTTTATCGGGTTTTTTACATTATTTGATAGAATTTTTATGCAACTATTATGCCACAATCTATGATACACAATGAAAGTCATTTGCCATTTACATTTCTATGTAAATTTTGTTTTCTACCTCTGCATATGCTGTGGCATAAGTGCATTTATCATATTTCATGCAGCACTGACCTGCCTTATGCAAACTGAGAATACAATAAACACTGCCAGTAATATTTAGCTGCACCCAATTCTTGCTACAGAAACAAGCATTCATGAAAGCATTAAAATACTTTGGGTGATGGTTACTGCCTATCAGCTTAATGTTTTGAGCTATAGAAAGGGACAGGAGACAATATTTGTGGCTGTCAACTGCAGTACTTTCCAAGTTCATTAGGTTTCATAAGACTGAATTAGCTTCAATGCTTCAGTGAGAGAAAAAGCCCAAGGCTACCAGCCTGATTTAAAAGGATGCTACTGAGTTTCACAACTATTAGAGTAAGTTCAGTTCTGGGTCCTATGGTAAGTACCTTACCACACCAATTCTACGCTCTGACAGAAGGATTATGTTTTCACCATCATGTTGTATCTGGGACAAATGAAGGGACAGCATAAGCCACACATCCCTTTGTGGTAACCTGTTTGGATATGTAGCACTTAGGTTTCTAATACAGTTCTCAGCCAAGAAGCTTTCAGGCATCACCTGACTCTCTGAATCAGGCATAAACTGTCATGGTTCATTCTGTCACAGCCAATGCAGCAGAAGCAGGGCAAAACATACTGCCAAGAACAAAAGGATGTCCAAGCAGCACACTCAGGACAGGGAAGCAGACATGGGGGTGAAGTCTCATCTATGTGTTTTCAGTCACTTCTTCCAATGTATTGAAGTGACTGCTCAGCAGATCTAGCCTCACTCTCTGGGCATTGCAGGGGCACAGAGCCCTTGCACAGCTGGTTACTGCTTCCTTCTTCAGTACAGGCACGACCCTTCCTCTGCACCCTACTACACCACTGACACTACTCATCGTGCCATTCTCTCCACCAGCTAGAAGAAAGAAGGAAAGAAGTCTCCTGCCACTGCACAGGCTAGTGCTACAGAAACCTGCAGTCACAAGGCCCACCCAGAGCCAAGTTCTTCTGAGGCAAAAGGAATAGGACTTCTACAATACCAGTTCTTCTATCAAGAGGGGAGAGGAAAGCAAGGCTGACCTGCCTTCTAGGAGTGTGGAGGAAGCACAGGCAATGGCACTCAGACCACCCTGCTGTGCAGTGCCTCCTGGGAAGCCAAGCACTATCTCCTGGGAAAAGAAACAGCCCCTGCTGCTCTCTCCCCTCCAGCACCTGCTGTACCCCAACCTCCTGACACAGAGCCAGCTCTTGAGGAGGGTCACTGTCATGTTCATAATGAAAGTACCTGGAAATTGATACTGGCAATTGACAGGTAAACACCAGGGACAAAAACCCATCAATTACTACTTGTACAAAACCACAGCATGTGCCTTTGGTCAATCAGCTACTGCTGCTTACCCATCTTTCTCTTAATATAAAAAAGGGTGACTAAATCAGGAATTGCCACTTCAGAGTTGAACTAATGTCAGCAAGGAGATGTCAGGTAGGGAGTAGCACTGGACAAAGCAGAGCACACACTACTTGTTGCACAAACATAGATTTCTCATCCAACACAATCTTTTAATAGGTGCTACCAGGTCAAAGAAAAGCATACCCGAGTAATACAGTGAGGGAAATAGCGTTCATCCAAAATAAGGATGTTCACAGGATCCCACAGTTCCCTGATACCACACAGCATCTATGAGAGACAGAAGAGAAATAAACTGTTGCCTCAACAACATACCCAGGTAAAGCCACCAGAAGGGCAGTTACATGGCATTGCAACAGAGAGAAGCAGTTAGCCTGGGGCAAGAGAGCATTGCCACACTGAGAAGCTGTTGGCCTGAGGCAAGATATATGGAGCATCATGCAGACATCATGTGAACAGCAAGTCCAGGAACAATAGCTGCCTCATGCGATATAAGCAAGCCTTTACCATGCCCAAATGGAGCTCTCCCCACTGAAGATGATCAACAGAATGCTGCTGGATCCATGCTGGTGACTGTCCTTTGCATTTTGTAATTCTCTTCATGTTTTTCTCCCTTTTCTTCCTTCCCTCTTTCTATCTCTCTCTTCAATGCTAATAAAGTGAGTTATAGTTTTGGTTACCAACATCTGACCGTGTTTGTGTCTTAATCTTGCTCTGGATATATTTGATCCTAAATCCCCTCTGCATCTGTGGATTGGGACAGCATCAAAGCAGGCAGCCTAGGGAGTGGGAGCAATTGGTGCTGTCATCTGTTACTTCTGAAGTCATTTGATGCTGAATTCTCCTGCTGATCACCCACTGCTCTGTCAGCTGTGGTCTCATGTACACTTCTTCCCCCCTCAACTACCCCCAAATAACTTTTCCTTGGTCCCTGTAATTTCTGCTTTCATCCTTGACCTTATACCTAAGTGGTCCACATCACTTCTGTTATCACCCATAGTTTAGCTTTGTAATCTGACTCCCTATTTCCAGCCTCTGCATCACATCACCAGATTACCTTACCATCTCCTTCCAACTACTACAGCTGGTACACTTCTCTACCAAAGTCATCTACCAACTCTTTGCTTTTCAGTTTCATTACTCTTTTCCAACATATGGACAGAAATAATTATCATTTATATTTCTTGTTCCAATGCCTCTGGTGCACATGACAATAATGCCTGCTCTGCTTACTTACAGTAATTAGACAGTGCCCACAGGCTGAGATATTGACATTGCTGAGCTAGACATTGCATCCTGGGATAGGAGACACTTCTTGTGTCAGAGGTGCCAATCTAAATAAAGAAGTTACAAAAAATGGTGGAAGGTAAGTTGGAATTAACTGTTGGTTTTTTTCCTTAGAAACTGGGCAGCAAGGTACAGATTAATGAAGTCAGCCATTGGATCTTTTTATCTGGTAAAGCAAAAATACACAATTTCCAGTATTTCCCCCACTTTTGTTTCCTCTTTCGAATGCAGTCATTTGAGAGACAGGTCGTGCCCTGCAGTTAGAACGTCTTTCCCTCGAAGGCCTCCAGGTTGAAAGCTGTATCCAAGAACCTTCTGAGTGACACCAGATGCATGTTCTTGTTGCCTGTGGCAGCTGCAGCAGCAGGCTCTCGGCCAACATACCTTTGTGAGAAAAAGAATTGGGCAGACAAATGAGTAAGAAGAGATACTATTTTGACAATAACAAGCATGAGAACATGCTGCTCGATGCGTTCAAGTCAACTTGGCAGATTTGGACATTTAATCATCAATCTTTTTTAAATAAAAATCCATCTAAGTTGTACCAAGTTACACCTTCTGGTCAGCTTCCTCCTCTTTTCCCCTCCCATCATTATTAAGCTGTGTCTTCTCCCCCATCTCTCCCAGGCAGCCAGCTACACTGTCTCTTAATTAGATAACTTGCTTTTGGCAATGAAGACTCTCATTCCTCTGACAGCTGCATGGGCAGATCCCAGAGTCAATCATCTAAAATAAATACAAATGCACCTGGACTGAACTCTTACAACAGCTGTTTCCTCCAGGAACCTAACATTTGGAATTCCTAAAAAAAGACAGAATCTAAGACAACATGAGAGAAAAATCCAAGACAGCTAAGTGCTGTGCTAAATGGTGATAAATACAGAGCTATTTGAGACTGATTTTCTTTTAGAATTACAAGAAGGAGCAAAATATGCAAGTTGTATTTGAGAAATAGTAGTCTAGACTTTTCCCTCCTTCACCCAAGAACCCAAAGTCAGAGGTCTTGATTTGTGAAGAATCTGACTTACCCATGAATACCATTCTCAAATCAAAATCAAATTTTAAAAAAAAAAACCCCAAACAAAACCTGAAAACAACCCCTCAAATCAAAATCAAATTTAAAAAAAAAACAAACCCCAAACAAAACCTGAAAACAACCCCAACCAAATTTAAAAGCAGACAAATCATCCCAGGGGAGCAATTGTTTAAAGTCTCATACCAGATAGGTCGAGTGTGGTTCACAATAGTGCGGAAACGAGGTTTGACGTAATCATAATATCCACTGTTTTTGTGCTCCTCCTGACACCAAACTAGATCAGCACTTGGATACTTGTCAAGTTCTTCTTTCAGCAAGTCAAAGGGGAATGGTGAGATCTGGAAAGAAAGGGTGATAATTGGCATAGCTTTCTCTTACGTGGTGTTACCCCACAGTGTGTCATTACTTTTTCATGGAAAGTGACTCATGTTTCTCTAATTGATTTAATGCTCAGAAATAAATACATATGTATTTTATAGTTGTACTAGTATGGACAGAAGTAGGCCATAGTCCAGATCTCCTGGACTCCTACATCTTTTTTAGTGAAGTAGTTGTAACAAGGCCTTAATTAGTGAGCGACAATATATTTTCAAAGTGCACTATTCACAACACTTAAACCCAGCAGACTGGATATACAAATTTAAGGTGCTATCATATTCTAACATTCACTTTGTTATGCTTTCTGGACCTCATTGTCCAGTATAGTACTGATGTATTCCTTTTCCACAATGTAATGAAGGATTAGACTATGTCTCATAAGATGCAAAGTGATATAAAATGCTATGACCATCCATTCTAGAAAGTGCTATCTATTTAAAAAGCACAGAAATCCTTTGCTGAAAGTCTCCCCAAGGACCCTGTCTTCTGAGGATCAGGGAGCTCACCTGTTCAAGTCTGGTTATAGCTACTTGTTTCTCCAGGTCTTGATTCTTTCTCTCTTTCACAAGATCATAGTATACTTTTCCTGTGCAGAAAATCACTCGCTTGACCTCATGTGGTGCCTGAGCTGCCAGCCCGTTCTCAGGAATCACGCGTTGGAAAGTGGTACCTAGTTGGAGCACAAATTAGACAAAGTGCTTTCAGTGGACCTCGTGTTGCAATCAAGCAGCTCAAGAAACAGTCTTTTACTGGATTAGACAAAGTGCTCTCAGTGGACCTCGTGTTGCAATAAAGCAGCTCAAGAAACAGTCTTTTACTGAGCAAGCTGCAGTTTGCAATGGTCACAGTGTTCTACTGCATCTCTATTCCTACTTTTTGGACCAGTAACACTGCTAAAGTGACTTCCAGCAGTTCAGTTTTCCAGAAGTTAGAAGACTGTCAGTAATCCACTCTTTCACACTTAATAGAATATGATTAACAGTGGATTCTTTTTTAGCTTTCTGTTGTGCATTACACCTTTACTTTTAAATTGACTGGATAGCTCACCTTTGCTTCCAGCTTTTTTTTCAGAGAATTACTGTTTCCTCTTTCCAAGATGAGCTCAACCATGTAACACTAATATAGCTTCACAAAATTTTAGAATATTCTGATGTAAAAACAAACCACATAACCATTATGCAACTAAATTTGGCAACTGCATAAATATTTACACAAGCATACACTTCACTGACATACATTTATATGATTTAAACCTCTGTTTGAGGGCTAAAATGGCATTAGCCAAAGCAAGAATTAGCATAGTACTGAGCCTCATGTATAAGTACAATTTCACATGCATATCTTCATTGCCAGGTATCTTTTCCCCTGCTAAAAGATCCTTTTCTTTGCTCTCTTACATGATTGATTAGAACTATTTCCACATTAACCAACTGCAAGGTAGCAGACAGTGGCATGACCTAGTCTGAATCAGCACACCCACATACCAGAATAAGCTCCTGTTTGAACCATTTATCTTGGGGGAAGAAAAGCAAACACATAAAAGATGAACTGATTTGTCAGAATTAACCTGTCTCAGTGAACTGTAGAGCTCATCATTAAAAAAAGACTGAATCCATGCTTCATTGGGTCAACTGGAGTCAGTCTTCCTTTCCTTCTCAGCTATCCATTAAAAGCAGAGCAAAAAGAGTTTGCTAAGAGCCAGCAAAACTTTAATACCTGCTGCCCTCTTCAGCAGCAACATGAAAGTATGTCAGAATTCAATGGTAATTAGGAGCTCAACCACTCTTGAGGGCTAGCCTGAAGTAGAGGGGACTCCCAAGACAAAATGACAAATCACAAACCCCACAGAATTTCTAATCTGACCCATTCTACAAAGCTTTTAAACAGTAATAAAACCCAGCAAATGTCTTTGCTTCAAAAGCAAACTTTACTCACCTACAAAAAGGATAAAATGCAATACTTAAGCATGTTTATACACTGTAACTTGCTTTTAAAAAACTGAGCTGTTACTCTGTTCTGACACCAGCCAAGACACTCACTGGAACTGGAGACAGAGAGGACACTATGCACAATTTCTCACTCTGAACAATGGCTTTAATCACCCACTCAGTACATGTCACTGCATTTCCTCATGCCACTCCAAAACATTCTAACCAGTGCAAGGCAGGACAAAAATCACTGCAGCTTTTGGTATTACCTCTGCAGTCACTATGCATCTCCTGGTGCTGATGACATGCCAACCATAGCTAGGGTGGCAGCCCACAGCTCTGAACTCCCTGAGCCCACTTTAGATCATTGGTGTGACACAGCAGCCCCAAAACTGAGTATTGTAAGAAGAATTAGGCCCCTTATTCTTCCAAATGGGCACAGTGTGATTACAACCTCTCCCTCACATCTTGGGGGGTGGGGGACTGTGGGCAGAACAAAGAACTAAGATTTTATATATTTTATATGAAGAGATAAAGAGTGGAGGGACATAACATTGAGGGGAACTTCCCTTTAGAGATGGTGAGAAAAAGAGTGGAGGGACATAACAGCCTATTGAGGGGAACTTCCCTTTAGAGATGGGAATGCACTTTCCAGTGCTTTAAGATTAATGGCTGTTTACAGGATAAGCCTGTTAAAATTAAGAATTGATACTTGAAAGCAGATTTTTCAGCAAAAGTCCATGCTACATCTCACTAAGCCTGTTAAAATTAAGAATTGATATTTGAAAGCAGATTATTCAGCAAAAGTCCATGCTACATCTCACACAGAAATTATGCCAAAAGAAAAGGCAAAGTCTCCAGAGCAGATTCTCTTCTTCACAGTCTGACATGCGACTTGGTATAGCTAATTATTTCTCTATAATACTTTATGGTAACCTACCAGACACCATTTCATCAAAACTGGACTTAGCTTCTGGATGTCTCAGCAGTGACTTGGGTGTCAAAACAATCAGCTGTAAGACAGAAATTTTTCCAACACTCAGGTGCTGCTTTGTCTACATCATTACATGCAACATTTGTAACACTCTTCATAAAAAAACCACAAACTGAACATGCTACAGATCAAATTAATATGAATAGCAAACTCAGCAAATTATTTTTTTCTGTTTTGAAACAATGGAAGTTTCAAAATTACTTAAAAAATTTGGGTAGTCTGCTCCTTTTAAAAGTTCCCAAAACTCACTGCTTACACTTCTTTCTGACAACAAAATCAAATCACAGACTATGAACCAGTAAAACATTCAACAGTTGTATCTTAGGTTTTTGAAGTTCCAGCAATTAGACATGCAAATGATATTTATGCAAACTGTTAGCTATGCAGTAGTATCTTGACAAGCTCATCTGAAGATCTACACAGCCAGATGGAAGTAAAGCTGAAAATCAAGTTTTAGAATTGTAGTAAGTCAGAACTGAGTTTTTTTCCATCAAATCAGCAACTTCAACCTGTGTTCAGCTAAAGTTTTTCACAGACGATTCTTAATTCTTTACAGCAGCATGTCATATGCAAACAAAGACCCTTCTTTATGTGAGGATTAATATACCTAGAAAAATCAAGTCCATTACAGGAACTTTACCGGTTTTCTGAATGGCAGCAAGATCTGTCTTCGGAGGACGTGAAAGTAATTGGCTGGAGTTGAGCAATTCACCACAATCCAGTTGCATTCATACAGCTGGGAAACTTCAAACTGCTCACTAAATTCCTGAGAGAGACATTAAAGGCATTATAAAAATGTTTCAAACAGGAAAAAAAAAGGCTTGAAAGCCATCCTTCTATTTCTGACTCTCAGCAACTCCCCTCCTCAAAAAACTTAATTAGCAGCTCTCTGCTGAGATAGTTCTATTAGCTAGGGAAGCATCCCTACAAATCATTCACTTCTGTTTCTACTTCTTCCTAAAATGTCTGCAAATAAATGCAAGAATTCTGTTAATTTCAACAAGCTGGAAAGCCCAGGAAGGAAGACCAAGGAAGACTAGGACTTCAGTAGATGGAAGACAAAATAAAACCCCTTAAAAAAATAAAGTACCTTAAACAGTAATTCAATTTGTGAGTGGATAGTTAACTCTTGCTGTCTCTCCCATTTTTTGGTAGGTGTTCCATCCTCTTATTTTATTACATAAATTTAATATATTTTATATTTATGCATTTTACAAATATAAGGGCTTTTTTATCCATAGCTATATATATATCTTAGATAAGCATATGTATAGACACAATAATCTCATTACAGATTGGTGCAGCATCTAACACAATTTCCTGGTCTGTGGCTTGAACCTTCTATGATAAAACCTATAACTGGTTTATTACATGGAATTGACAGTGCTTAGGTATAGTCAGTCAAACAGGTCTTTATTCTGTCAGTACAATGAGACAAATCACTTTTAGATTTGGAGAAACATGACTTTGGAACAATCACTGCCCCAAGGGTAACAAAGTCAGGGTCATAACTCGAATATCCATTTTATTTTACCTTTTTTTAAAAAAAAAATTGGTGGGCTTTTCAATAAATGCACAGCAGTGTTTCTTAGGAAATCTGCACTGGGGAAGTGGATGCCCAGCATCCTGTAGAGCTATGTACTTTCTCTGTAGAAACCAATGACCAATCTATGTAAGTCTCAACTGAATGAAAATCAGAAGTTGCTTATTTTCACGCTCCCAGCAGTACAAATTAGCTCCACTGCAAAATGCCAAGAGTATTCTCACTTGGCCTCCTTTAGAAATTGGCTAGAGACACCTATTTGCACTACACACAGCAATATAAACAAGCAGAATAACTGTTCCTCAGGAACAGCCACAGATTAATTGTATGTGACCTCAGCTTTGCAATGAAGCTGCAATATTGCATACTTCTGCTACTTTTACTGGGATCAAGTTAATGTTACACCAAGAGTAAATCTTAACCTGCTATACCTCATTAAAAAGATGCCTCCTACAAAAAAATATCGCTGAGATGTGAATAGCAAAAAAAAGGACAGGGCCTTTGACAGAGCTACTTACTGGATAGGCATCAGAATCATCATTGCTCATCTGCAGAAATCTCTCAGGTCTGGCTGATGAATGCTCTGGACCCTGGTAAAGATATCATTTAAAACAATATTATAGAGGCAAATGAGCAGTTAGACATTAGTCTAGATCCCTCACTGCAGAAGTACCTCCTGTCACCCTGGCAGCTCTGCAGCAGCCTGCACACCTGCCCCCCAGCCCAAGGCATGAACAGCAGCAGCAGTGAGAAGAGAGGACAAACCACAGGATGGGAATTCCTTGCCTTCCTTTACCTGTTGTCACATGAGATTAGGTTTCACATGTATTTCCAATGCTTTTACCAGCTGCAAGTAATTTCTGGCCTCAGTATACCTGCACAATGAAGACCAGTGGAAAGGGAGTAGGTCCATGTGGGTACAAGAATGACCTTGCTAATGCAGGGCAAAAAGGAACAGGAGGAATGTCAGGAAGAGAAACACTGTGTGCCTCAGCGTACTGCAGTGACTCACACTTTCTGCATACTGAACAGGAGCAAACACAAAGTTAACTGCTGACTACCTTTGCTATATTAGCAACAAAAGCAGACGTGAGATGTCTCTCCTACCATTGTTCACTGTTCAGTACAGGACCAAATAGCCTAGATGAATGCTTCAGCTAAGATGGATTAAAATACATTTAAGCTTTATCTGCCAAACTAACCTATGATTAATTTTTTCCTCCTCAGGAGGTATTTTATGTCCTGTTGTTACCGAACACTCACATCCACTGTCTCACTAGTAGTACTCAAGGTAATTTCTTGAAGTGCTTGAACATTGTTAGATGCATTTTCCCCTAGCAAAACATGCATGCTGGCCACAGAGAATATCAGTAATAAGGAGTGTAACAGAATCTGTTCTCTTCCTTTTGATGCCCTTGTTTATAAAGGACAAGATAAAGCTGTGAGGAGTATGAGAATGCAGTGTGCCTTTTTATGTATTGTTAATGCTGACAGCTTTTGCTTGTTCAACTGACAGTTACTGTTAGGAAGGACTTACATTTTGGAGACAGCTGTGAAGTATTTTAACCCAAAGACAAACTATTACACCTCTCAACTCCATCCATGGCTCCTAAGCTAACGACGTTCATAAAGAGATTCTTTTCTGTATATGGCTGTCTCTCATCATAACTTCCTCTGCTGAAACCTTACTATATGATCTCCAGAATCACTCATTATTTTGACAGCTAGTAGTCCATCTTGATTCAACACATCATCCTCCCTATTTGCAAGTGCAGGATCCCAGAGTCCATGGGAGGGCCACAACGATGATCAAAGGGCTGGAGTGCCTCTGCTATGAAGACAGGCTGAGAGAGTTGCAATGGTTCAGCCTGGGGAAGAGGTGGCTCCAGGGAGACCTTACAGCACCTTCCAGTATCTAAAGGGGCTACAAGAAAGCCTTACAGATGGGTAAGGACATGAGAGCAAGGGGCAAAACTGCACAAAACTATGGTGCACAGTAACAGTCCAGTATATTGCAGTGGGCAGGTTTAGATTTGATATGAGGAAGAAAGTCTTTACTGTGAGGGTGGTGAGGCACTGGTACAGGTAGCCCAGAGATGTTGTGGATGCCTCCTCCCTGGAAGCAAGTGATCAAGGCCAGGTTGGATGAGGCTTTGAGCAACCTATTCTAGTGGAAGATTCCTTGCCGTGGTGAGGGGGTTGGAACTAGACAGTCTTTATTGTCCTTCCAACCCAAACCATTCTGTAACTGTGATTCACTCTACTCCATGGACTACGGGATTGCAAAGGAAAAAAAAACATTCTGCTACTGCAAAGGAGTAATATAAATGGCCAAGAACTGTGCCTTGCATCATCACTATTTCAAAGTCTGGCTCTGCTTTTGAGGTGCCAAATAACCTGGTCACAGATGGGTAAGGACATGAGAGCAAGGGAACTGCACAAAACTATGGTGCACAGTAACAGTCCAGTATATTGCAGTGCTTCTGTTGTATACATCTGTTTGCTGTACATCAAATCCTACACGAAGTATAGCCTATACATGCACAAACACAGTGCTTCACAAGCACACTGCATTCTGTACACTGGAAACAGATGTTACTAGCAAACAATTACAGGAGAGACAGGTGAGGCTTCCCTAACAAACACACACTGCCCCCGCAGCAACCTCAATGTCCACATCTATCTTTGATTTCTCTGCTGACACTGCCAATCAGACTGCCAGCAACTGCTGAGTGGGATGGGGTAGGGTTTATTTCTACTGCGACCACCTATCCAGTGAGACCTATACTGAATTCATCAGCTACTTTCAGATGAGTCCCAAAGGAGCCATTAGGCAGCAGAGTCTTTCAATCACAGCCAACTTGCCTGTGAATGCATGACCTAGAGGTGAAGGGATCCATATCCCATTACAAATCCTTCCCCAAATCATTTTGTCCCCAATACTGTAGTTAAAGAGAGACTAACACTCCTGTAATGGAAAGGTCCTCTGGGATGATAACAGATTTCAACAGCCTGGTGGGATTCTTAAAATATTCCCCCAAAAATCTGACACTGGTAGCAAAATAAGCATGTTTCAGAAGGCCTGTGCAAATCTTCACTGCCAAGTGGCTATGAGAAAAGAAAGACTAGATGTATGGTAAGTAGCAGAGAACCAGCCCCTTCAGCTGAGTGCTTCCCTGCAGTGACCACACCTCCTGCTGAGGGCACATTCAGGCTGTCCCTCAGGATTCAGCTGAAAAAATTAATTTATCTAAACTCTTGTGAACAGCATCAGACCCTTTATTCTTTATGCACAATGGATATGAAAAGCCATTCATAAGATATAAATGCACCCCAGTATGTCAGGACAGGATTATAATTGAATGGAAATAAACGAAATTGTTTGTGAGAATGGAAATGACGCAGTTTGTAGTGAAAGGGTCTAGAGCATTTATACAGATGGAGATTGCCACTGTGGCACATACTATGCTTTTTAAACAGAAAACTAGAAGCATACATGCATCAATTCATGAAGGTTAATGTATTTGAAAAGGAGAAAATTAACCTAGCCTGACATGATGTTCAAGTAACCTTTAAAAATAACTTCAAATATTTGAAGAACAATTCTACTGCTGATATGAGCTTCGTATAACATTATATACAGAGTGTGCCCATGTTCTTTCCCTCTAAGACACTGCCTAGTTCCTCCTCATAGCCACCAAATAAGACAGTCAACAGCTAGTGGAAACATTTCCCTTTCCAGAAAGACTGAGATTTCTTACTATATCAAAGTTAACCAAGGTCAATGATTTTTGAAGAAGTTTTAAAGTTGTTTCATATAATTTCATTGCAAGAGAATTTAGTATGGAGCTTACACAGACATACTTTATGCAAAATAAAACCAAGCAAGCACTGCTAGACACTCACAATTTCTTTCTTATTGTACACTAAGAATCCAGCTTTCTAGGG